CGACCCCAGAGGTACATGTCGGGGAGGGGCCTGAATATTTCTGTCTTGTTGACAAGGCCTGGCTTTGCAATTGCTGTAACAGAGTGGAGCAGATAACACACTGGCTGTGGAGCTCTCTAACTGTTTTGGCCCAGGCAGGATATTTTTAAATTTGAGTCAACATGGGTTTCTGTTTTGTTTTTTTAAAGGAAGTTTCAAATTCTGATCAAAATCTGGGTTTCTAACTCCTGTTGAAAACTCAGAATAAGTGATTTTCCTGGAATATGCTTCATGAGAGAAAGACCTTATTGTGTACACAGCTCTAGCTCCAGAATATCGATCCGTGTCCAACTGGAAACACATGTTTGATGAATGAATGAATGAGTCATGTCAGGGCGCGATTGCTGGGAGCTGAGCGTTGGCAGTGGCTGTCCCCCTTGAGGTGGGGCCTGTGCGCTCCAGTTTGACACACTCTCCACCCCTCCTTGTGGCCTTCAGCCTGCACTCTTTGCTCATTTCTGCCTGGCTCCTTGAGGCATTTAAATCTGTTCATCTTCCCCTCATGGTGATTCTGCAATCGACCTTTCTCTTGTTATATGACCCTGGAGAACCCAGAAGTATAAATTTTATCCAAAACTGATGAACCCCTTTCCTGACCAATTAACATTCTAAAACTTATTTGCACAATAGTTTTCTACATTAAAGAAAAAATATATATATATTACTTAGAAGCCAGGCAGGGAGGTGCATGCCTGTAATCTCAGGGACTCGGGAAGCTGAGGCATGAGGATTGCTAGTTGGAGGCCAGCCTCAGCAACTTAGTAAGATCCTCAGCGACTCAGCGAGATCTTGCCTCAAAATAAAAAAAAATTAAAAAAAAAAAAAAAGAGCTGGAGATGCAGCTCCGTAGTTAAGGATGTTTAGTTAATATTACACACACACACACACACACACACACACATTACTTAGGGTGTTTTCTTAAATAAAAACATATGCTTAAAATAAAAGCATTTGATTTTTTTAGCCTCCTTGTGAACAGAATATGTGTGTTTTGTGCTACTCTGTACAGATTGCCACAGACTGAGAGACTTAAAGAAGTACCCATTTGTTCTTTAGTCCAGGGCAGCAGGACTCGTTCTCCCCTAGAGTCTCACGGGACCCTAAAATCAAGGCATCTGTTGGTCACATTCTCATCTGGAGCTCAGGGGTCCTCCTTCGGGCTCACGTCTGTTGGTAGAATTCTGTTCCTTGCAGTTGTCAGACTCGTCCCCCATTCTCTTGCTGGCCATCAGCCAAGAAGCAGTAGTCCCAGCTCCTTCTAGCTACTCCTTGGTCCCTGCCCTTGGCTCACTCCACCTTCAAGGTCAACAAGAGTTTGTCAGATCTTTCTAACGTTTTCTCATTTCTCTGCCTTCTCTTTTTGCTAGGGAAGACCTCTGCTTTTAAGGGCTCCTGTGGCTAATTCAGGCCCAGCGGGATAATCTCCCCACATTCCACGGTGCTGGGAACACCGCGTAATCTTGGGCGTGAGAGCTCGTCCCAGCCACAGGTTCCGGGGATGAGGTCATGGAGTCTTGGAGGCCGATTTTGGATTCATAGTCTTTTTAGAAACATGAGATGTAGTTTCCCCCAAATTATTCGGTCTGCCACGACATGAGTAGAAAGAAAGCATGTATAATGCAAGTCGTGATCATCCTGTTCTCTTCTGCCCTGGCGAGCCACAGCCAAGGCATTACATTTTGTTCTAGGTGTCAGAAACTGGAGGGAAGTGAATAAATATAACTCAGTCCTTACAAGCTGCTATAACAAAATCCCATAGTCTGAATGGCTTCTAAACAATAGAAATCCATTTGTCACGGTCCTGAAGACTGGAATTTCCAAGATGAGGTATCCATGGGTCAGAGTGGGCTGCTGAGTTTCTGATTGAAACTGAAAGACTGAAATCCAATTCCTTGGCTTCAGATCTGGTGTCTGATGAGGTCCCTTTTCCATGACAGCTGACTTCTTTCTAGAACATGGCCTGGCAGAAGATGCAAGAGATCTCTCCGGGCTCTCTTTCCTAAGGCCACGAATCTGATTCAGGAGGCCCTATCCTTCAACACCTAATCACCTCCCAAAGACTCCCCACCCTGATGCTACCAGAATGGGTTAGGGTTTCGACATGTGAATTTGAGGGGGTCATGAACCCTCAGTCCATTGCAATGACTAAGACTCCACCCCCAGGTCTGTGAAGGGAGTCAGCAACTTAGGCTTAAGATGGAAGGATGCCAAGGTCATTATGAGAACTATCTCTGAATATTTTAAAGGGTGTAATATCAGAGGGGGATCCTAAATCTGGAGGGTAAAATCAAAACTCACTGGCGGAAGCAATGGAGGGAAGCTGGGCTTATTGTTGGAAAGTGCTTTCTCATAGAGCTGGACAGATGGACTGCACTAGGCTGGACAGGGCCTGTCCCTTCGCTGGAGCTGATCCAAGATGAGAGACGACTTCTTGGAAGGAACGTTACGAGGAGTTAGGGAGGCTGGGTTAATAGTCTCTTAGGTTTGTTCCAGCCCTGAGGTCATTGCTCAGTGATGGCCTCGTGATTCCTGGAGTCCAGTTCTCCGTCTCCAGCCCCTCTACCTGGTGTGTTCGTGTTTGCTCTCAGTCATGATGTCAGATGCCACAGTTTGAAACTTAGCTCCACCAGGTCTTCCCTCCCGTGGGCTGAAAGAAAAGAAGAAATGGTTGTCCCAGGAAGACTCGGCAGATCACGCAAATCCACAGGTCCACTGCCAAAGGAGCGCTCTCTCTAGGAAAGACCATTGGGGAAAAGATAAAACCAAGGATAAATAGAAGGAAAAAACACAGGCAGGAGAGAGGGGACCTATTTGGGACCATGCCATCAAATTAGGTCCCTGTATGGAAAGCACAGGGTCCTGGATACCAGTGAGAATAAAACAGGAGGAATAAGGTCGACGAAACAGACTCGCGGTTAGAAATTCCGTGGAAGTTAAGAACCTGGTCTTGGTACGACGGCAAAACTTCCAGGGTGTGAAGCAGGTAGCCTGACGTGGCTCTGGGTGGGAAGGCAACTTGCCTTCAAATGAACCATGGCTCAGTGGTCGAGCACATGCCTTGAATGCTCGAGGACCTGGGTTCCATCCTCAGCACCCCACAAAGCAAAAATCACCAAAGGTGGTCATGGAGATCCAGAGGGGTACAGGGGCAAGAGCCTCATCACCAAACTCAGGAACACCCCAGCTGACATCAACCAGCTGAGATTCGGTCTCCCAACAGGGACGCCCGGAGAAACCAAGTCTGGGTATTGAAAGGCAGGTTCACAGCGTGCTGAGGAGAAGTCTGATAGAAACTGCAAGATGGAACCCAAATCCCGTTGTGTAGTGTTTCCTTCAGTGAAGTCAGAATCCAGAAGGCCTGTCACATCCAGTAAGTGGCGTGTGGTACCCAAGCCCCAAAGAGTTGGGCAAGAGGTGGAAGGTAACTAGATTCCTGATGACCAGGGTGAATTGTTCCTGGCAGCTCAAAAGACTAATGGAAACAGAATTTGTAATTGCCCTCTTAAGTATAAAAGATAACGAGGGACTCCTTCTTTGTCTCTGCAACCTCCCTTGGAACTGGGGGGTTACCTGTGCAGGTAGAGAAAGCATAGATAGGTGTCTCACAGACAACTCTTGCCACCTCTGCCCACACCACTCTGCTCTTCACCCTCCCTGGCTGAAGAAGTGCTCTAGTACCTAGACCAAGAAAGGCACTTGGAGAAACCCACTCAGTCAGGCATCGTCAAGCATGCCTGTAATCCCACTGGTTTGGGAGGCTGAGGCAGGAGGATCACAAGTTCAAGGCCAGCCTCAGCAACTTAGTGAGGCTCTAAGCAACTTAGAAAGACCCTGTCTCAAATATAAAAAGTAAAAAGGTCTGGGGCTGTGGCTCAGTGGTTAAGCACCTGGGCTCAATCCCCAGTACCAAAAAAAAAAAAGAAGCCCACTCTCTGAAAATGATGTCAAATGCCATATTTTTTTTTAAGAAGAAATATCCTCACCCACTTCTAAAATAACAAAAATCAGAGCTGGGGTTGTCGCTCAGAGGTAGAGTGCTCACCTAGCATGCAGGAGGCACTGGGTTCTATCCTCAGCACCACATAAAGTAACATAAAGATAGTGTGCCCATCTATAACTAAGAAATAAATATTTTAATATATCATAAAATAAAATAACTAAAATCAATAGCTGCTCAGCGTTTGTTCACAGGTTGAGCGAGTGTCCTCTATAGACGAGCTGGGGGTGCAGAACTCACATGCATCTTGCTATGGACTTAAGGCTTGTGTGTCCCCAGTGTACTGGTACTTGGAGGGGAGGCCTTCTGCTTTGCTCCAATTATTCCATAGATGGAAACACCATTGTTGTTCACTTTTTTCTTTTTATCCTTGCAAAAAAAAAAAAAAGGCCACCAAGAAGAACAATCAATAAATGGCTAATTAATTCTTCTTTTCCTTGATGCCATATTGATTTCTCCAATTCAGCATCCAGCCCCTCCAAAGGACCTTCATTCTCACCCATCACCTTCTCCCCTCCCTCCCGACTCCCTGGGACCTAAAGTATTGGGACTTTTTCACTGGAAAGGGCACAGGGGTGTGTCCTTGAGAGCCAGGGTTACCTGAGTCCCCTCCTTCTTCTCTCAGCCATCTATCTGCCTTTGTCCTTCACAGGATCTGTGGTGGCTTCTAGGTCAGCACTGCTGTATTTGTGTACATGAATGTGTCGCTGTGCACGTGTCACGGTGCATGTGGCATTGTGCAACTGTCTGTGCTACCAGCCAGCTTATAGGCTCTCTGAGGACCAGGAGGGGCCAGGGCTCTTTGTCCCCCTGAGCACAGCGCAAGGCCTGGCGCCCAGGAGGTGCTCAACGCACTTGTTGAGTCCAATACGTGGAGCTCCAGAGAAGTGCTCCGGTGACGTCCCCGCGCTCTTTCTTCTTCCAATTTAAAAACATAACCCAAAATGCTCCGTGGCTCTTTCAGACGACACAAGATTTACAGAGAGCAGTTGAACCTCACCTCCCTGGAGCCCCCGCTGCAGTTCCGAACCGAGGCCAGCTGGGTCCAGTTCCACCTGGGAATCAACCGCCACGGACTGTACTCCAGGTCCAGTCCTTTCGTCAGCAAACTCCTGCACGACATGAGGCACTTTCCCACCATCAGTGCCGGTGAGGGTCATGAGACGGGGCAGGAGTGATTGACACTCTCCCCGAGGGGCTGGATTAAGCCATCTCAGGCTGGGACCCAGGCTGGAATGTTAAAGGGTTGCCACTGTCACGGGATAGACAGGTTCATAAGCAGAAAAACACTTTCCTCTTGAAAGAGATCTGCTAACCTTAATCTCATCACCATCCTGTAATGGAGGTATGAGAATGTGTTCTGCACACATAATAAAGAAGGGCAATCCCTGCCGTTTTATTGAGTGCTCCTTTGGAACCAGGCAATGCATTTGCTCTTCTGCAATGACCTGATGACATAGACATTATCATTGGAACTTTGCAGGCAGGAAAACTGAGACTCAGAGAGGTGAAGTAACCTGACCAAGGACCCATGCTGGGGCTAGGATTCAAACACAGGTCTTCTGACCCCAAGTCTGTGCCCTCAAGCACTGTGACCGTCTATGTGATACGGCAGATTATTAGCAGAGACCAAATCAAACTGGGTCTTCCAGCCAGCTGTGGATGGATTGTGCACTAGAGATGATGGGAACCAGGATGGAGCAGGGGGGAAACCGTGGGTTCTGGGAGATCCCTTTAGAACAGTCAAGGCTAAGTCCTCCAAGCTGCATCCCCTCCTGGTATTGAGGGTCCGTCCCCAGGTGGCCGCTCTCCCAGGAACCTGGCTAGAAGCCCTCACCGCCCTTCTCCTTTGCAGATTACAGCCAGGACGAGAAAGCCTTGCTGGGGGCATGCGACTGCACCCAGAGTAAGTTCCTGTCCCTTCCAGCCACATCCAGCCCCCTCCCTGTCACAGCCACAGGAACCCCAGCATCCACTCCAATGGGGGCTGTCCCTGCCTAATCCTAACATTTCTGCCCACCCACCCACAGAAAGAAAGGCATTACGGGGCACTCTGGTGCAGGATCTGACTGATCCAGATGCCAGCCAGGGACAAGCCTCACCGGCATCACCGGGGAGCTTGTAAGAAAAACAGAATCTCGGTCTCCAATCTGATTTATCGAATCAGAATTTGAATTCTAACAAAATCCCCGACTGGAGGCTGTTTTCGAATTTCAGAGGGGGTCGTGCCTGACAGTGGTTCGTGATGCTGGCAACATATCCGAATCACTGGGGAAACTCCTCCTCCTCCGGAGGTTTGGGTTCCACTGCCAGAGGGTGAGGCCCAGGCATTTATGTTTTAAAAGCTCCAGGTGGTTCCAATGCAGCCAAGGCTGAGCCCCCTGGGGTAAATGATTGACAGAACGGAAAAGCCAGGAGCGGAGCAGTGTTTCCCTCTGGGGAGCCTGTGACCTGGCTCCAGGTGGGCCTGGGCACTGAACCGCAGGCCAGCCACCTCTGGCTGCAAGTGGCCTCATCTACCTACCTCAACTTGATGAACATGCGTCAGACATTTCTCCATGTGACATGATGTGTCAAAGGTTAAAAGACGCTGTCCCAACCCTCATGGGGCTTGCAGCAGCCCAGAGTGGGGCAGGTGAGGTGAGGCAGGCTGCAGCACAGGGGAGCAGTTCCCCCCTGCACCCCAGGCGCATGGATTTGCCACGCCCTAGACCCTGCCCAGCGGAGTCCTCCATAGGAAGAAGGCATCTCAGTTATTGTCACAGATGGCAGGATCAGAATCCACAGGGGGCAGCTGAAACAGAGGAGAGGGTCGGTTCTTCTTAGGGTAACATTTTGGGGGGTTTTTCACTAGTGTCTTTCTGGGGAACCCTGACACCTGCTCCACGGCTTGGGAAGCAAATACTCTTCCTTAAGTTCTTATTAAATAGAAGAGAAGAAATTGGCTGGGCCTACGAACGAACAGTCAGAGCTCCGACCTAGGCCCAAATGCGTCCTTCACTGGCCCTTCCACCCTCCACAGTTGTGAAGCCCAGTGGCGTCCACCTGAAGCTGGTGCTGAGGTTCTCGGACTTCGGGAAGGCCATGTTCAAACCCATGAGGTAAGTGGAGTCTTTCCCACCGCTGCGCCCAGGGTGGCAGCCCTGGGGGAGCTCTAACTAAAAAGTAGTAGAAGTGACCTAATGCCCACCTTTAATCCCACTCACTCGGGAGGCTGGGGTAGGAGGATCACAAGTTTAAGGCCAGCCTCAGCAATTTAGCAAGACCCTGTCTTAAAATTTTAAAAATAAAAAATAAAAAAGGACAAGGATGTAGTTCAGTGATAGCGCACCCTTGGGTTCAATCTCCAGTACTACCAAAAAAATAATAATAATAATAAAAAGTGACCTACTATCTTTATATCAGTGATGGGGAGACTCTGTTTTGGACATCCTACCCCAAGCACATAACTATTTTTTGTGAGAATGATAGCAATTAAAATAGTAAGAGTCCCTTGCTAGCATCCGAGCCACACACCCCACATGAATTGGGTCTTTGGATCGTCAACATCCTCAGGAGCCAAGTGCCATTATGATGTCCATTGTGAGGCGAAGATACTGAGGCCACAAGAGGCCTGCACATCCCAAGCTCCCAGCTGTAACAGTGGACCCAGGATTGAACCCCAGGCGGTGGGACTGTTAAGTGTGCTAGCACCCTTCCCTGGACATCAAAAGTTTACAGAGCTTTACGTGACAGTACTTGCTTTATTTTTATTTTTTAGCAATGGTAAAGGTGAAACCAAGGCCTCGTGCATGCAAGTGCTCTACCATGGACTACACCCCCAGCCCTACAATACTTGTTTTGATTGAAAAACTAGACAACCTAGGAAGGGTACTATGAACTCTGTCACATGTTCTCACACACACACACGCGCGCACACACACACACACACACACACATATACACATATGTATTATATATAATATGTACATTATATATAATTTTATTTAATTTTCTTATTGGAGATTGAACCCAGGGGCCTTCTACCACTGAACTGCTCCCCCAGTCCTTTTTACTTTTTTATTTTGAGACAGAGTCTCACTGAGTTGTCCAGGTTGGCCTCGAACTTGCCATCCTCCTGCCTCAGCCTCCAGAGTCATTGGGATTAGAGGTAGGTACCACCACACCCAACTCCACTGATTCATATTTTGTTCATAAAACAAGTAACCTAACTGCCAGGCCTGGTGGCACACACCTATAATCCCAGCAACTCAGGAGGCTGAGACAGGAATATCACAAATTCTAATCCATGGTGGATAACTTATTCTTTTAAATCTTAAAATTTAAAAGAGTAAAAATAAAAGGGCTGAGAATAGAGCCCAGGGTAGAGTGTCCCTGGCTTCAATCCCTACTACCACCTTAAAAAAAAAAACTTACATGCCCTTGAAGTTCATATATATTGGTGAAATATAATCTAGTCTGTGCGCACAACTCGGTGTGTGAATGGGTGTCTCCAAGACGCTGCAGGTGGGGGTCCCCTGAAGTAGGACTCTAATGCCTTAGTCTAGTGGATTGCTCCCCCTGGGGCTGCCACACTTAGGGGAGAATGGCCCCAAGAGGCACTCCCATTACCCAAGTCACATGTTTTCCACAATGCACTGTCTTCCCCTGGAATCCACGTGGACCGGCCAGGATTCCACACCTTCCGCCAGGTGAGGAGAGGCCCCGTGGACCGTCTGGTCACTGGTTCTAGAGGTGGGGCCTAGTGAACTGTGTACCAGAGGGATCTGAAGCAGGTCAGCCGTCCTGGGGAGCCTTAAACAACTCTGTGCCCACGTCCCATGCTCATGGAGTCCAGTGGACTGGCTCTGGGGGCCTACCCTGTGACCCCAAGGCCCAGGCAACCTTTAGAAGCCTGCTTTTAAGGAGATTTCCTCATTTTTCTTCTGTGGGAAATGTAAAAACCTAGTCGTCTGGTCAATTTAAATATATAACTTTCAAAGATGTCTATGAAACAATTGAATATCTTCTTACATTTTTTTGATTTAAAAATTCTCATCCTATAAAACAATATATAAATTTAGAGATACTGCTCCCCCCGCCCCCCACTCTCATGTTCCACTTGCCAAGAATCATGGGTGTTGGTCAACATCACTGCAGAGTCAAGTTTAGGATCAATGTTAACCTGTAGTGAAGTCTTTCCCACTTTTCTTTCTCATGATGCCCAACAACCTGCTTTAACCACTTGTCAGGCAGCAAAACCAGCTCAGAGTGACATCATCAGCTCAAACAAAATAAAGTAGTTGAGAGGGGTTCCATCATTTGAGAAAATACATAAGAATTTGAACATGAAAAGAATCCTTTTCCAAGGGACAATTTTCAGGGACATTCGACCACTGAGCCACGTCCCCAGGCCCTATCTTGTACTTCATTTAGAGACAGGGTCTCACTGAGTTTCTTAGTGCCTTGCTTTTGCTGAGGCTGGCTTTGAACTCGCGATCCTCCTGCCTCAGCCTCCGGAGCCACTGGGATCAGACACAGCGGACATAAAACTATTCAAAGATCCCATTCTTCCATGTTTGTTAGCATCAAGGCAGAGGTGACCTAGCAGCCGGAGGTGGCCCCACCATGCCTTAGGGATCAGGAGACACTTTCCTGAACACGCACACATGGGGGCAGGCTGGAGCTTTTCGGGAATCCACTGGAGAGTTTTATATGTACATAAATCAATGTCCTCTTCACCAGCCTCCCGCGATCCTGTGGCTGGGTCCATTCTCCTGACCCACCTGAGTTTCTCTGAGGGGATTGTCCCATGTGTTTCTCCCAAACCACCCCAAAAATCCAGAACTTTCCAGCTCTTCAAAACCTCAATCATACTAGACTTCTCTAGGGAACTTTCCAAGTTCTGGATCACACCCACCTTTCCTAATCCCCGGGCATCTGGGTCTGCCCTGCTAATGGGTCCTCGCTCCTCCTTCTACACCCTCCCAAGAATGTCGGTACTTCTTCCTTCACGTCCGTTGGATTTTTAAAGACTCGACCACTGTGGTCAAAGCTTCTCAAGTAGGAAACTTGAGGTTGATGGCGATACAGGACAGTTGTCTTCCAGAAGCCGGACTCTTCCTACCTTGCATGTCTCTTCCTAGCCCAGGGGGCCACTGGCCATTCCTGATTGGTGGCTTCATCATCCCTGTGTACGTGAGAAGCACAGAAGCATGTCCCCCCTCCTCTTCCTCGCAGCCCCCTCCTCAGCCTCCCAGCTGAAGCCTGAGTCCAGGGCGTGACTCCTTCCTTCTCTCTAGACAGCAGCGAGATGAGGAGACGCCCGCAGACTTCTTCTATTTCATTGACTTTCAGAGACACAACGCCGAGATCGCAGCTTTCCACCTGGACAGGTAAGTCTGACCGCTGGAGGTGGTGTCCACTACAAGGGCCGATTGCCTGGGTGGGAACGCTGGAAAGACCCTCGGGGGACTCTTCTGGCTGTCCACCTCTTCCATACCTCAGGGCGGTGCCTTTAAACCCAACAAGCCCATGGTCTTTTAACATAACGAAATAAGCAATTAATAAAGAAAACTAACCGTGCTGTACTGCGCACGTTGCCATCTTGGGCACAACACTGCCCTTTCCTCTAGTTCCCTGATCTGAAAACGAGAAGATGCCCGAGGAGCCATAAGGTAATGATATCAGAAGACAAAACACATTCCTAAACTCCCAGGTTCCATCCGCTCAGTCACTGCCCCTCAAAGTGTGGTCCATGGATTTGCATCATGGACACCACACAAGAGCTTTCTAGAAATGCAGAATCTCAGCCTCACCCAAGACCCACGAAATCAGAACCTGCACCTGAACAAGATCCCAAGTGACTAGCATGCACGCCCCAGTCGAAAAGCACTAGAGAAGAACACAGCTTGGATGGTAGTAAGGCTTGCCCCGGAGCACCACAGACTCACCCCCAGTGGCCGCCCTGCAGGGTGTGGTCAGGAACACCAGGCGATTCCTAACATTTTTTGGCCTGGGGACAGGACTTCTCCCCATTCCCTGACCATCCCTAACCTGGACTCCCTCTTTCAGGATTCTGGACTTTCGACGAGTGCCGCCAACAGTGGGGAGGCTAGTGAATGTCACCAAGGAAATCCTTGAGGTCACCAAGAACGAAATCCTGCAGAGCGTTTTCTTTGTCTCTCCAGGTAGTGTGCTGGCCAGAGCCTGCCTGCCTACGCGGTAAAGCAGGTGCCCACTGTCACGTTCACAGTGGCATGGCTCCTTGTCACTAGCACCGCATTACTGGGATGGGCGGATGCTGCCCTCAGACGCTCTCATCCGGATGAATTTTGTGTGGGAAAAGGTGGTGTGTGAGATGCTAAGAGGCTAGTGTGGTCGCTAAAACCCACAATGCTGGCCTTCCTGGGGACAGAGGTTATCCTTCCAGGGTAACAAAGAATGTCCCAATCATATGGATGAGATGCAGAGAGGCTGGATCCCACTTTCTCTGCTCAGAGACATTTGAAAATTGGTCCCCATGATGCTCAGTTCAGTAGCTGCTATGTCCCCAAATGGCCATGTTTCCTTCTCCCACCTTTTCCCAAGACACGGGTCCAGGGTTCCCCATCTAATCCTCAGGGGTTTCTTGGTGCAGGGAGACGGCCTGCCTCCAAGTCCTCCTCTTCCTGCTCCTCTCTCCTTCCCCGTCCTGCAGCCAGCAACGTGTGCTTCTTCGCCAAGTGTCCGTACATGTGCAAGACGGAGTACGCGGTCTGCGGCAACCCGCACCTGCTGGAGGGCTCCCTCTCTGCCTTCCTGCCGTCCCTCAACCTGGCCCCCAGGCTGTCGGTGCCCAACCCCTGGATCCGCTCCTACACCCTGGCAGGAAAAGAGGAGTGAGTCGGCCCCTGGCTGCAAATGCCACATCCACGGTCCTGCAGTCCAGCTCTTAAGAGTGGCCACGGTTGGACCCCAAAACCTTCCTCGGTCCTCCTCTGCCCCATTTACCTTGATCCTGTGACTAGCTGGTCTGGGTCTGTCCTCTTGCTTTCATTCATTTAATGGGTGATGGAGAGCCTGTTAGATGCTAGGGGACACAGGAGGGACATAGGCTCTCCCTCGGGAGGCTTCTTGAGTGGACCACAAGCAGCCAGACTGTGGAAGCCTAGTGTGGTGTTCCTAGAGGGACACCAGTTAGCCTGAGAAAAGTCCACGAGGCCAGGAGCCTCCTGGCTGTATCCCCAGGCGCAGCACCCCTCCTGGCACGTGGCAGTACTCAGTTCTAGTTGAGTAGGTCCACCTTCAGGCCACCTTGACTGTGGGGGTAAAGAAGCAGTGGAAGAATCTCTAGAGGACATGAGTGATGGGTTAGAAGGGACTTTGGAAGTTTGAGCGGCACACGGTACAATGCAGGCAGAGGCACAAATGTGACAGCCATAACAAGGTGGCCCGTGGGGGGTTGTGAACAGTGCAGGAGCCCTGGAGGGCCGGTGTCCAAGAGGCTTGGTGAGGGATGCTGGGGAAGCAGGTGAGAGACATGGCACCATCTTGCCCTGCCTGCCCTGGTCTCTGAACATGGTACCCCAGCCCTCGGCTTAGCATCCAGCAGTTAAATGACTCAGAACCTTGTACCAGGTGGAATCTACGGGCCCCTTTCCCGAGTCCTGGGCCAGGGGCCACCAGCCACCAGCGTCCTGAGAAGTTGCCCCCGGCCCAGGGCGGGATCAGGGAGGCAGGGATTTGGGAGTGGGCTGCAGGTGTGGGGAGGGCCCCAACACCTTGCCACCTTGGCTTTTCCAGCCCCAGGACTTCTTCTCACCCCCAGGTGGGAGCTCAATCCCCTTTACTGTGACACTGTGAGACAGATCTACCCGTACAACAGCAGCAACCGGCTCCTCAACATCATCGACATGGCCATCTTTGACTTCTTGATCGGTAGGTCCCCATGCTCAGGGCACCTGGCCAAGTGGTTGTGACCTTGGCACACAACTATATCCGGGTTCACGAGGACTGAACAGCCCCGCACCGCCCAGCCTCAGAAGTGGCAAAGGCCCAAGAGCACAGAAGTTAACAGGTGCCCTCTTCAAAGAGCTGGGGAAGGGGCCCTCGGGGGCAGGCACAGCACCCTGCCACAGGGCCCGAGGGGGCGTCAGATTGATGTTAGGTGTTCCCTGCACCCAGCGAGGGGACAGCAGGTAGGAAGGTGAGAAAGAGAGGGTCGAAGGCAAGGTCCCAGCCGGAAACCGGTGATTCGGCCTTCCTGGTAATTCCACAGGGACCAGGAAAGATCGGGCAGCACAGCAGAGTAACAAAGGCGGCCAAGGCACACGTGCTCAGACGTAAGCAGAGCAGACAGAGGGCTCACTGTCACTCCCTTCAGGAAGGTAGCTTGTCACTCTCAGCTGGGGGTGCCTGGGCTGAAAAACCCCATCGACATGGACAGGAGGGACGGAGGCACGCTTCTGCACAACAGAACCCCTGGGCAGGGGTGGGGGCAGAGGAAGGGCAGGAAGCTGGGCCATGTCAGCTGTGGCCCGGGTCCAGGCCTCTACTCTGGACAGAACTGAGGTCAGAGGTGCCTGTCCCCCTGACCTACCAGCCCCTCTCCCTTTCTTTACAGGAAACATGGACCGTCACCATTATGAGATGTTCACCAAATTCGGGGAGGATGGCTTCCTTATTCATCTCGACAACGCCAGAGGGTGAGGGTCCTGCCAGTCGCAGCTCTTTCCCTCCAGACACACACCTTCCTGCAGCTGCTCGCCACAGGAGCCTGCCCAGACCCGCCCTGCACGGTCTGCCCGCCCCCATGGCGCTGGGCTTTCCCACTTGCTTTTTTTCTTGCTCTTAGCTGAGCGCCCTTGATTCTCTGCCAGGCCAGGAGCGCTCCGTGAATCAAGCTGAGACATCCTGGGTTTCTTTTAGAGGGTCCCCAGAGGCTGGGCCTCCCTAGCTGGGCCTGAAGGAAGGAGAGGTTGCTTGGTTCTAGCAAGGAGGCTGCTATGCCCAGAGGAGAGGGGGGCTGGGGAGGCGGCTGCCATGGTCCCTGGCTTTTTACCCTAACCACAGATTTTAAAAGTAGAAGGGAGAAAGCCCCAAGGGAATAAGGATGCTGCTCACTGAAGTCTGTCTTCTCCTAGGTTCGGACGACACTCCCATGATGAGATCTCCATCCTCTCGCCCCTCTCCCAGTGCTGCCTGTAAGTTTTCATGCAGCAGGTACCAAGGGCAGGTGGCCGCCAGGACAGTTCATCCTGCTTGCCACCGAGCTCTGAAGGCCTTCATCAGTTTTCACTGGTCTAGGACATGGGCAGGTAAAATGAGGCGAATTGCCTCATTTCTTAGACAATTATCACATCTTCTCAAGCAACATCTCACTTTTTCATCCTTTGGCCTAAGATGAATTCAGACTTTTTTTTTTTTTTTTTTTGGTACTGGGGATTGAACTCAGGGGCACTCGACCACTGAACCCCATCCCCACTGCACTCAGCTGGACATAATCTTTTAAATTTTTCAGTTGCCAACTTTAATCTCTAACCCACTTAGATAATAACCCACTTTTGCAGGGGCTGATGACCTCTGGCATTACTAATCATACCTCTGCTTTGTCCAGGAGTCAGAAAATCTCATATTACTATTTGATCACCATGTAAGTAAAGTCCTGATGAGAGGGCCCTTTAAACAGCCTGTGTCCAGAGTTCAGTTCTCCCAACCGCACTTCTCTGGAGGATGTCTAACCTACTTCCAGGCCTCTCTGGCATCCTAGCCAGGCTTGTGAAACTGTCCACCTGCTCAGCAACAGCATCCGGAGCTAATTATAAATATGTGGTTCGCACCTAGCAAAACCACCCCATTTGTCTCCAGTGGGAAACTCCGAGTATGAATGTTCTTAATCAGCTGCTTAGATTAATTCCAACATGTCTCCCTTCTTGCTTCCTCCCTCCCTTCCTGAGGAGGCCAGGCAATAGCTGCTTGTGACAAAAATAAGACAATTAAGCTGCCTGCCCAGAAGTCCAAGTCAGATTCCTGCATAAAAAGAGATAAAACTCCTGAGGATGGTCCCACCCCATTTTCATCTCTCTGATTTTAGAATTTGAGAAATAGTTAGCATGACCCATCTTGGAGGCTAGCTCTTGAAATGGCAGACAGCTTCATCATTTCACCTACTAGAAGCTTCTCCCATCAGCTTTAAGTCTCTTTAAAAAATCCTGTCACTTCAGTTTTGATTCTTTTAGCAACCTCAGCGCAAATGCGCCCGGTCCAGCGTCAGCACGGGCGGCATTACGATTGTTAGAGGCCGTTGACCAAAAGGCAATTGGGCAAAGGCGGACACCTTTTCTTCGTTCCCTTTTGATGCGGTTTTCATTAACATGCTTGAGAAGGCACTGGGGGTGAAGGCTCTCAGAATATCAGCTGCAACAGCTGTTCGGGGAATGGGCAGGTACAGACAAGGTATTTTCTTTGCCCTGACTTATTTGGCTCCTATGACTTTGCCTTTTCAGGATCAAAAAGAAAACACTCTTGCATCTGCAGCTGCTGGCCCAGGCCGACTACAGACTCAGCGATGTGATGCGGGAGTCTCTACTAGAAGACCAGCTGGCCCCCATCCTCACCGAACCCCACCTCCTGGCCCTGGACCGCAGACTCCAAATCATCCTCAAGACAGTGGGGGACTGCATAGAGGCCCATGGAGAGCAGCGTGTCATAGCCGATGTCCCAGCACAGCCATCAGCCCTAGACTCTGGCCAGGCTAACCTGAAAAGCTAAGGGCTGGAGAAGCACATTTCAGAAAATACAGCCGGAGCCAGCGGTGGGCTCTGGAGTGCAGACCACTGCGTCCTTACTTCCCTCTCCTCGTGCTGGAGGGCAAGTCTCAAGCTCAGGAAGAGGCAGGGCATGTTCTAAAACAGCAAGAGGGATCCACTGACCTGCTCTATAAGGTCACTTTAAGATCCCTTCTATAGTGAATCGCCTTGGCTCCATCTTTCCCAGAAATCTCTAGCTCCATCAAGCTACAGACTATCTCCCCAGTGCTCTGGGCAACCTGCATATGACTCAGATCTGGAAGGTTTCTAGGCCCTGTTCCCAGGAAAGTTTTAACTGTACCAAGTCAAATAAAAGGACATCAAAGTGGATACCTGTCCTCCAGGTCCTTATTCTATCTACAAGTAAAGGACAGTTACTGGTCCAGACAAAACATCTTGCAGATCTCAAGCAGCCTCAAAATCTTCAGATAATTAAGCCTCAAACTGGTTCAAACTAGACTTAACACTTTCTACTTACATTGTAGTCACTGTCCCTACTGAGCAGTCCTAGAGTAACTTCTCAGAATACTGTCACAAAAAGTAGAATAGAAATTTGCTCTAAATACCAGAAATAAGGTATTCCAGTGAGAGTATTAAATATCAACTGAAATAACAATGTCAAGATGAGCAGGCAGTAACAACAGGAGGAATTGTGATGGAGGGAAAAGAGAGGTCTCCAAGGTCAGCATGGCATGGTGGGGCCTGTCAGACCCCTAGGTACTAGAGGAAGTCCTGGAGAAAGGAAGGACAAAGGCCAGGGCCTGCTGGACCGTCAACCACAACACTCCTCCTTATGTCCCAGAACTGTCACCTATGAGACTCCAACAGGAACAGGGAGCCATCTGGAGGGATGAGGTCCTCTAGATACCCTCTCCTCCTGTACTGATTAAAAAAGAACTAAATCAAATTTCTGTCCCAAACCTCCTTGAAAGGATAGTAGGGATTCCCCGTCTCCTCCAATTCCCCCTACTGACTTGTTCACATCTTAAACTCCTGCAACTGGAGACGTGTTTCTTATTCCATAATAACTGAAACCACAAATGACAGGAATATATTCATTCTGCAGAGTGATTAGTCAACAAGCAAAAATAAATGATTTCAGCAGATCAAATTCTCTTCTAATAAAGGTTGGAGGCTCAAAGTAAGGGGAGTAGAGAACAAGGTCAAGACTGCAATGTCCAAAGACAGTCCAACAAAAAGTCACAACAGGTACCGCTGGCCCACGCTGATACTCCATACTGGTACCCTGCCCCTGAGCCTGTGGTTCCCCAAGTCCCCCCACATTACAGAAACAACACACAGGCTTCCCAACATACACACAACTCCCAGCCCCTCAGGAAAGAGAACCAAGGCTCAGAGAAATAACCACCCAGTTCAATGACGTAGACCTATCCGATGTCTTCTTTCCACTGTAACACAAAAACCCAAATGTATCACAACCAATTCATGAAGTTGTACTTAAAAAAAATAGAAAATAGAAAAATAGCTCTTTTTTTTTCTCCTTTTGTGGTGCTGGGGATCTTAATCCCAGAGACTGCCTCATGTGGGGTAGCCAAATGCAGCACAGGACTTCCCACTCCATCAGCTGTTTCTCCTACTTCAAGTCATTTTTTTCCCTAAGGAGGAACCAGGAATATATGAAAATATTCAGGGAAAGACAAAGAACAGCACAAAATGGTTGGGACTTCCAAATCAGAGGCTTAGGAAGGTGAGTTTCAGATCCATCCAATTCAGCTACTACTCTGACTACAAGTTAATTTTTGAAGGGTGTAGGATTTTGTGACCTACTATTCAAATTGAAAGTACCAGAACTGAATTTGACCTTGATGAGGAGCTCTATTTACTCATCGTTAACATTCCATTGTTCTTTTTTTTTTTTGTACCAGGGATTGAACTCATGTTCACTCATCTACTGAGCCACATCCCCAGCCCTATTTTGCATTTTATTGAGAGGCCGGGCCTCACCGAGTTGGTTAGCACCTTTTGCAATTACCGAGGCTGGCTTTGAATTCGATTCTCGTGTCTCAGCCTCCCAAGCCCCTGGGATTACAGATGTGTGCCACCACACCCAGCTTCATTGTGTTTTTAACAACAAGATTAAGATCATTCATCAAAAATACCCAGAAATTCTATCAAATGGTATAAAAATGTCCCCACAGTATTAGTATTACTCGTATATAGCTGATTAGTATCATTAAATGTGAGAAGGCTGTGATCAAGTTTTTTTAGAAACCAGTGAGACCTTCCCACTTGTTTGAACCACTGCTCAAGGCCCCATGAAACACTGTGAAAACTTTCCCTGTCACCACTGACAGAAGGATGAAAGATGGCCGTACAGTACAGGACTTGGTGATATAGGGGCTGGAGGCACCCTCTGCAGCCCCTCAAAAACCAGGACAATTTGAGTCTGAAAATTACAAAACAGTCAATTCTCTTTATGTCCTATAAAGCTGCCTCTGATATAAATTAGCAAACACTAAAATCCTTCATTGCTCTACTGGGTTAGGTTTCCAGAGTTTACGTTCACACATTTTCAACGGATCAACTTATGATCTTTTCTTGTTCAAGACACTTTATTCTGCTGAACTCTTAACACTGCTTCACGGCCAACATCACTGCAACTCAGGCATGAACGTAGCTCATCTAATACGCAGTATTTTCTAAGACACAGCACAGCCTTCTTGCCCTTAGGAACACTGGTCAGTCCAACAGCACTGCACTTGGGGCCATTTCAAATAGGAAAGTCATCAAGGAAAAGCACAAAACTGCAAAATGGCACTAAAAGGACCGACCAAACAAATAAACAAAAAGACACAGTGTGACAACTGAAAAAGACTGAGCGTCCCCTTGTTCACCTTAGGGTGGGAAAACATTCACTGGAGATTCCAACTCTCCACTGCACTGCACAAGACCTCAAATGACTGCAAAAGCACCGTGTACAGTGGCAGGTTACAAATAAATTTTAGCAAGTAGGCATATCTGCAAACACAGAATCCTTAAATGACTAAGAACAACTCATTTGGGATTAACATTTGGGATTAACAAAGATGATAAAAAAGCTCTCCATCTAGTGGAAACTTTTAGAAGCACAGCTACTTAGACAAAATTGGTAGAACTTTCATTCAGAAAACAAGGGAAAAAAATTACAGTGGTTTTAGTTTTAGATGGAGTCATGATGCAGTCAAGAGTTCTGAAGTTATGTCAAGAAACAAATTTTAGCTATGTACACAACAATGCTGACTTCTATGCTAAAATCCCACAGTGTGAGAAGAGAGAAATTAGGATTCCCCCTTTTTAATTCATGTAACTACAGCCTTTACTGATAGCTATTATGACAGACATCTTTGGGGACAAATTCAGTGGTTATCTAGCCATTGTTAGTTCCTTAATGTTGTTTCAGCTCATATAAAAATACATTGCCAGAGTCTAAACAAAGTACAAAAAAGGCCCAGCTATCAGTGGTTGGATATAAAGCAAAATTTAAAACAATCTGACATCATGCTATTTCAATTTTAAAATGTCAACATTTTAATATATTAAACAAAATGTGAGTCACCGTGGGCCACTGTTAAAGAGGGAAAATTAATCTATAACAAGGACAATCAACACAATCAAATTTTCTTTAGTTCTACTCTGTTGTGGCTCTGAAGGTTTCAACTCCAGCGGGCTGGAAGAAGTGGGTATTGAACCTATACAAAGAGCACAGTGTTCTTCTGGGGCTGGGGATATAGCTCAGCAGTAGAGTACTTGTATAGTATGTGCAAGGCCCCAAGTTCAATCCCCAGCACTGAAAAATAATAATAATAAAAAAACCAAGTTCCTGAGTGTGTTAGCTAGAAAAAGTTCTTCTAGGGGCTGAGGTTGTGGCTCAGCAGTAGAGTGCTCGCCTAGCACGTGCGAGGCCCTGGGTTCGATCCTCAGCACCATTTTGTTTAAAAAAATCATAATAAAAATAAACTGTTGGGTATCATTAGAATATTATAACATATAAAATAAAGGTATTAAAAAAAGTTCTTCTAGCACATCTCCAGCTTCACAGGATGTGAAGAGATAAGCACATTATACTAGTAAGTACAACTTAATCACCTCACTCCTCAAAAATCTAAGCTATAAGACTTTCTATAAAAACATCTCTAAGCAACTGCATATCTTAAATACAAACCAAAGATATGGTAATCCAGAAATGGTATTTCCCCCTTAGGTATGGGAAAGTTCTAAGGCCACAAAACTGATACTATCTTCAATAAACAGGAAATTTTTGATTGAATCTTTTCCTTCCATAACTTGGTGGGTAAACCTGTTACGTATCTGCTACCCTTTAAGCAAAGTTGAGATCCATTCTTTGATAGTCAAACTGAATTGGAAAGCTTGGAAAATAAACATGTTACTCTTTAAAAATAAAGATCCCATAATTCACTTCCCCTTCTCATTCTCACCCACCAGAAACGGAGACTCTGGGGAAGGGACAAAGGAAGAAAAAAAGGAGAAAGTGAAGAAAAACTGATTCATTTAAGAATTTAAATTATTTAATCTCTTTTTATTACTTGACCTACTGTTAAGACAATCTATAACAAAAAGAATAGCATATATTAGCACACACAGTATCATCAGACAGGTAACCAGGAGGCAATACGAAATGGTCCTTTGGCCATCTATACTTCTAGAGCAGTAGATCTCATAAATTCACTCACCAAATCCAGAAATAATGATTCCTAAAACCCTGAATATCAACTACAACAAAATTATGCCAACTGTGATTTCTCACATACACTTAGATTGCACGAAGATAAAGCTTTAAATGTGAAAATTTTTCAATTCAGACTTATCTTAAAATGTCTAAGATCAAAAACTACAAAAGGGAGTAAACAGCAAGCCAAATGATTTGAGTAAAACTCACTTAGCAGTATCCATACCTAAATATACATGAACATGATTATGTACATATAAGAAACTGATTTTATGGCATTCTACATAATTCATTTAAGTACATTTTGGGCTTTTAAACAAAGATCAAAATCAAGCTTAAAGCTAATAAGAACATAATTTTTATTTTTAGTTTTTTAAGTATAAAAAAGATAGCTAAACATAAAGTACAGAGCAGAAAACCTTCATTTAATACAGATTTTTGGAAATTAAAAAATTTGTAACAAGGTGGCTTTCTATCCCACACTAACAAGTAAATAAAATTTCTTTCCCAGATTTATATTCCAAAGTTAGTAACAACCTAAAATCTGCAAAAAAAAAAAAAAAATCGATCATGTCCAATTTAAATTACCTGGGAAAAGGTAGGTGAAAGGATTATTAATCAAAATCAGTTGCACACAGATGGA